TCCACCCCCCGTTCCCTGGCTGACAGTTATGAATAGATGAGCGCGTTTGCCATTTGTTTCACCCACTCGACTGACTGTCTCCTCAAACGTGTCCCTGCTCTATAACCTGCTTTCTGAAATTGTAGCATGCCTGTAGTTTTTGAACATCTGCTGTTACATGTTTCAGCAATGTGAAGCATTAGTCTGTGTTTTTTCTTTTCTTTTTCCTATTGCCCTTTAGTAGCAGTGATCCCTAGCAGTCTCATATAATGTGTCCTAACTCTGTCTCCTGGAGCATATGTCTACATTCTCTAACCACTTCTTGTAGCATGTCTGTAGTCTTTGACCATCTCCTGTTATGTGTCAGCAGCCTCTGAAAGATTTTTGCAGCATTACTTTCACTGAATACTATGCGCAGCCCTTTGGTATCTTTCCTGTGGCCCTCAGGAACCCTGCAGAGACTAGTCTATTTTTTTTCTATTGCCCTGTAATAGCAGCAATCTCTATCATTCCTATTTAATTTGTCTCCAGTTTGACTGTCTCCTGAAGCAGGTCCCCGGAAGTAGGTTGCCAGTTTACAACAACTGCAGTATGTGCACAGCCTCTGACTATCTGCAGCAGCATAGCTACATTTTCTTGTTATAAGAAATGGTCAAAGACTTTACAAATGCTACATGTGTCAACAGTCTGTAAAAGATTTATGTAGCATTCCAGTCACTTAAAGGAGAACTATGACATGAGTGATTTCCACTCACGTCATAGTTCTAGCCGACCTGTGACAATGAGACTGTCACAGGTCGGCTCAGTAGATCGGGAGGTGAGGGAAAACATACCGGGTTCCCTCACCTCTCGATCCTGTCACGGCTCTCTGCCGTGACAGGGGGAGGGGCTGGATTCCCCTCTCCCCGCTCCGATCTGCCAGCGCTGACTGGCGGAACGGACGGGGGAGGGGGCGGGTACAGCTGGCTCTGCCTCTAGACAGCTGTCACTCACGCAGCTGGGCGGATCCCGTCATCTAAGTCGGGATCCGCTCCAGGTGCGGCGTCTCAGTATACCGCAAGCTGTAGCTCGCGGTATACTGAGCTTAGGGTGACGGGAGGACGCTAGTTTGTGTCCTCCCGTTACCCCAAGGAGAACTATGGGGAAAAACGCTGACCCCATAGTTCTCCTTTTAATATTGTGTGCAGCCCTTTGATGTCAGGGGCCTCTCTCGATGCCTCCCATATCAGCAGAGTTGACCACTACTGGTATAAATGCTTTTTATCCTTAGGGTTCGTTATTTATATGCTATATTTGTACTTTTGTGTGTTGCAGACTTATTTGTGACCTAGTGCTTGCTGTTTCTCACTCGAATATTGTAAAATGTCATTTGTGCAACTCTTCTGTGGTTTAAAGTTGCAACTTGATGAAAGTTTACTTTTACAATGTAACATAATTAAAGCAATGTCTGTGGTTTCTGGACACTTATGTTCTATGGGTTTATTTTCTGCAGTACAATTCTGTTCATCTGATAGGCTTCTAGAACATAGGGAGTTTGTGCTAAAGACATGCAGCTCTGTTTGTGGCTACAGCTAGTCATCATTACTTGTCACTGAATGAAACATACTTTGTGAATGCCTCCATGTTTTTTTTTTCTTTTTCTTTTCAGTAAACAATCGTATGTCTGGTTCTTGGAAGTTAATTTAATTGTAAATGATCTAAATGATGTAAGGTATCCCATCTCAAAAGCGAGTTTAATTTGTGTAGTAAAGCTTAATTATTTTTAAAATGTGTATTGCTGCTCAAATTACCAAAATGCTAACAAAAACAATTTCGCTTGTGGTCTGTTTTGTCTTCCGTTCTAAACTGTTTAATGCTATTCAGCAAATTAAGTTAAAGGGTTATTAAACCCTCACGTTTTTTGCATATATCTACTGCTAGCGAGCAATAGATATGTGCAGAAACTTTAAGAAAAAACCCCAAACCTTTTGAACAGGTTTAAACCTACCTGTGTCTTCGCCGCGCGCTTCCGTCCAAACATCTGAAGAGTTTCGGGCGGCCCCAAAGGATCTTGGGACGGGCGCATGTGCACTTCAAATTTTTGGCAGGGAGACAAGGAGAGACACAAGGTAAGTCTATGGAGCAGCGTGCACCCGCACAGACACCGTGGGACGTCAGAGGAGTCAGCGCTGGATCTGAGACCCTCACCAGGGGCATCTGAAAACGTCAGTAAAGAAGAAGATGATCAGATTAAGAGGCATGATTTAAGGTAAGTCCTTATACTAACCTTGGGGGGGAGGCAAAAAAAATAACCTTTTAATGTCACTTTAACTATTGTATATAACCGATATGCTTTCCAGTTAGGCCTGTTAAACCCTTTGTCTGCTGCACACTACAAAAGGGAAACATTTTATGTATTTACAATTCTTCATGGAGTTGTAGAATTTCTCAGGACCGTGGAAATTTTCTTTTTTTGCCATTTTTATAGTTGTTATGTATGTGATTTTGCCAGTGGTTCTGGTTTGCAAGGACAGTCACTGAAGTTTTTTCCTGGAAATTTTTGAATAGACCTCCATGTCATTGTTTGCATGTTCAGTTGCTATAATGCAAGAATGTTGAAGAAAAATGAACTATATATTAATGTGTTATAGTTTGGTATATAGTATAGTTCATTATGAAATTAGCTAAGCAACAGAATATGCTTGGAAACATTTTAGGTTATAATTTATCTGTCTCAGAATTTTCTGAATGCAATGGCAAAGTGTGTTTTTCCTTCAGTTGGCTTCTTTCTGGCTTATGTAATGTTTCTAGCACTTTTGCAGAAAGTGTCTGTTACAGGTATTGGGAGATATAGATATATATAATTAGTGTGAAAGTGATCTGCATACTTATACATGTGAAAGTAATGTGAGGTAAATTTTGTATGTGTGTTAATGCTTTAAAAACCTTATTGATTGAAGTCTGAATTTTAAGAGCTCAGAATTTAGATAAATGGCAGAAAAAATATGGATATATTAGGGAAGGTAGGGTGACTAGTATAAAAATGTACCTGTCAGTTGGAATCAGCAGGTCCCAATACATTCTTTTTCAAGATTATGTCCCAGGCCAGCAGTGAAAGTACACTGGGGTGCTGATATCAACAGACTATTCAGAGAAAGTGATGTCCCTGCTGACCTCAGTGCCAACAATTGTACTTTTGTTAACCTGACTCGGAACTGTACGTTAACCTGACTCGGAACTGTACGTTAACCTGACTCGGAACTGTACGTTAACCTGACTCGGAACTGTCTTACTGTTGGACTTTCTGTTTGCATCTGACAGGTACTTTTTTCTTTTTTTTTACACTTTGCGTGCTCTTGCCAGACAAACACTTTGCCTGCCTAGTGGGTAATTTTTTACAAAAATGTGTCTTATTTGTGTATCACTCAGCTGTAGAATCATCAAATCATCTCCAAGGCTAGGTTCACACCTAGACGATTTAGCTGGTGAGCTGTTTTCATGCGGTTGTCGCACGTTTTTGTTTGCACAATTTTGCTTTGAAAGCCATGCAGTTTTCAATGCATAGAGATCTCTATGGCACCCAAACCGTGCGACAACCGGCCAAAAATAGCTCCTGCACTTTTTTGCGCGACAGGCGATTTCTACCGTGCGACAAATCGCAAAGGTGTGAACCGCTTCTATAGACTTGAATGCAAATCTGTTTTGTGCAATATCGTGTGGCAAAATCTGCGCGTTAAATCGCCTAGGTGTGAACCTAATCTGAATTGGCTCTGACACTGTCCTTCCTTCTGGAGGGTGGCTACTTTTGTTCCCCATGGTCCCTGTGTGTTGTAAATTAGCCACCGCTCCAAGCTTGCTCCCGTGATGGGACTACAATCTCAGATCTAGTTTACCAATTTGTATTGAGATTGTAGTCTTTCATGGGAGCGAGCTTGGAGTGGTGGCTACTTTACAACACACACAGGGATCAAGGGGAACAAAAGTAGCCACCCTCCAGAAGGAAGGACGGTGTCCGCACCAATTCAGAGATGATTTGAGGATCTACAGCCGAGTGATA